GGGGTGAGGCAGACCAGAGTTGACTCCTTTGGGGATGATGAGGCACCGTTGAGCCATCTGTGCCCAAGGGTGGTACAGAAAGCTGGCAGGCTGAGTACAGAGGCCTCTGGGGTCAACCAGATGTGGTCCAAGTCTTAGTTTTTCCACCTTGACAGTTCTGTTTGCTAAGCCCCAAAGCCTGTCTACGTAAGACAGGAATGATACCACTTTAGAGATGATGCAGTGGTCGAGAGCCCGTGTTGTACTTATTGCTCTTGCAATGAGGACCCTGGGGACTCACAGTTGGATCCCAGTGGGTCCTGTTGGGGGCGGGGCTTCCTACTGGGGGAACTATCGGCCAAGCAAGGCAAAGAAATGAACACAGACAACTGCCAAAGTACAGTGCACCCAGCACCCACATGGTCACTTACAACTGTCCGTAACTCTAGTCCCAGGGAAACCCTGTGCTCTCATCCAGCCTCCACAGGCACTGCGAGCACTTGGTACACAGACACGCATACAGGCAAAATACCAAAACACATAAAGTTAAAGTGAACCTAAAAACAGTGGTTACACCTATGGGAATATCCTAAAAGCCATCTTACATGCGTAAATTGTATGGTATATTAACTACATTCCAATAAAGCTATTTTAAATAGGAGATGGTCTAGCCAGGCTTTGTAGCCTTTGATCCCAGCACTTAGGAGGCAGAGGCAGGAGGATTTCTGTAAGTCCAAGGCCAGCCTGATTTACAGAGTAAGTTCTGGGACAGTCAGGACTACAGAGTGAGACCTTATCAAAATAAACAAAACAAAACCAAAAAAAAAAAAAATGAGGGAGGAGACAGGCTCTTTTCCATTTTTCCATGTGGGCTGGTCTGCATGGGATAGCTGAAACTGGTCTAGCCATCATGCCACCAGTAGGAGCCCCCCGGCCACATGAAGAGCAGAGGATCAACGGAAGCAGCAGCAGCCCCTAGCAGGACAGCTTGACTTTGAGTTCCTGTTGCTGATGATGTTTGCAGACAGCTAAATATTTCAGTTATAAATACTTCAGCGGACGGTCACTTATTCAGTGTTTGGACACATGAGATGCTAAACTCTTGGCTGCATCTCCTGAAATAACTCCGAGAATAACCCAGAGCTGACCATCACCTCTGTCCCCTAGAGGCAGACCACTGTAGGCACTATTGCATTCAAAGCTGCAGTGCTTTATTTGTGCTCAAAGATCACAAAGCCACTGCCAAACCACCATGGTTGCCTCTGCACCCACATTCCTTCAGAAAGTTTGCTAGTCCTCCAGTCTGATCATCAGGGCAGGGAGGGACAGTCCTTACTTGACATCTGTTTTCCAGATGTCTCTCGGCTACTGTCAGGCATCTTTGCTCTTTGTTTCTGTCTCAGATATATTAGAAACTGTTTTTCCATCTGCCTGATACAGACCCTTTAGAATCAGCCAAAAGTCTACATTTGATGATCTTTAAGTTTTGGTTTCTTTGCAAATCCTGTTTTGCCTTCATTCTTTGTATTTGTTTTGTTTTGTTCAGCTTTTGCTATTTTTGTTTTTGTTTTCTTTTGTTTTGTTTTTAGGCATTGTTTTGTGTAACCCAGACTAGCCTTGAACTCTCTGTGTAGCCAAAACTGGCTTTGAACTTCTGACCCTCCTGATTCTGCCTCTAAGAGCTTCACTGGCTGACCTTCCAGAGGACTTGAGTTTGTGGCCCAGCACCCACACTGAGCAGCACTAAAGTGCCTGTAACCCCAGATCCAGAGGGTCCAACCGTCTTCTGGACTCTGACAGGCCCTGCACAAACATACATGTGTGCACGTTATTTGAAAGATCCCCGGAGGGTATCTTCCGTCTGAGAGTCCCCCTCCCAAGGAACAACGAGGCCATTCGGATGCAAACAGCAAGAGGCTTTTATTTTGATACACGGGTACCCGGGGCAGCAGAGTCATTCGAAGGACTTTGCGCGCCCCCTAGGTGGGAAGCTGGGGTTTTTATAGGGTTTTAGAGCAGAAGCGCTGGTACAGAAGCGAGAGGCATGGTTACAGGGGGCTGATTGGTACGTTTACATGAGACCACGGTTTGTGTCAAAGTTTGGCAGAGACACCAAGATTCCAGGAACTGGGTGGTCAAAATGGTCATGATGACTCCTTGACGTGGCCCGTCACCTGTTGTTTTCCTTAGGACCCTTATCTTAACTGGAACAGTCTCACAGATATCTATGAGGGTGATTAACACAAACTGTTTTTAGTTCGACTGGGGCAGCCTGACCGCAGATATCCCAAGTGGATGACACAGCTGGGTTTTTAAGTAATTTTTTAGTTTTCCATTTAGCCTTTAGAGTTTTACAAAACAGTGGTGTCCCACAAAATGGCGTTAGCTATGTTTAACTTAGGGTGAGGCAGGGGTCTTTTATTCTCTCATTTTTTTTTAACTTAGAATGGAATCTTTTATTTTTGGGCCTAGGAAGAGTTAACTTTTGTCTCCTGTTGTTTGAGCTGATGATACTGTTGGGTCAACACCAACGCTTGTATGACAGAGAGCCGGTCTTTTATAAACTGGATCAGCCGATTGAACCAGGGGGACCGACTAAACCATCTCTCGTACCAGCTCTGTCCTGACTTAAAGAATTGTTGTCTCTATCTGAGTCTTTTTTTGAGTTTAGTCATGTTATCTCTTATCAATCTAGTATGGTCAGCAGCTAAGCAGATGCTCAAGATAATAGCCAATGTCAGGGAGCCACTTTTGACTTAGCATTTTAGCCTGTTAGGGGGGGATTTGGGTGGAGATCCGTCTTTTGGAGCTTTTTTGATGTTGACCGTTGGACCGTAGGCATCAGGAACTAGGGAGGCTGAAATGTCAGTCAAAGGCTGGGCAATAGGGCAGTCTCAAGCATCTGGTTAGTTGATCCACCGGAAGAGGCAGGGAGCAATCAGGTCAGTTTCTAGGAAGTCTAGATCTCAGCTTGTAGTCTATAGCTGATCTCAGAACAGAGTTAAACAGGTGAAAATCTGTTGAGACAAATTTAGACTGGAGACAGAAGTTAAAATTTATCTATTAAATTGGAAAGATCAGGGAAAACCTCATCTGTGATCTTTTTGAGCTATGTCAGATCTAGGTCAAATCTTGAAACTTATATGAAAATTTTTTAGTATATAAAAGGAAATATGTAATTTTAAATATTTAGAAAAGTAACATATCAGAAGCAGTCAGTGTTCTATCAACTTATCAGAACTCTATTGATTAATGTCAAAACTCTGAACTTTTGAAATCTCATAACATAGGTTTTGTATCTTTTTTTTATCTAGCTATATATCTTAAGACACAGATAACTAACATGAATTTTGTGAGCAAGGCAAACCTGTTTTTTTTTAAATAAGAGATCTAGTATCTAGTAGTTTTAGCTAATTTAGCTAAAGAACTGATCAATGAACTAACAGTGGATCTAATTGTCTTTTTTCTAGCTGTAAAGCTACCGTAAGCTTAGCATAGCCATCAAGGTGTTTAGAGACCTGAGAAGGATAAATTATAAGTTAAATAAATATATCAATCTATGTGTCAATTAAAATGACAGAGATGACTACTTAGTCTATCACCTAGGCAGTGTCTCTTGCTCCTGTTTTTTTTACGGCATCCTGAACAGAGGCTGTCCAGCCAGGCACAGAAGGTGAGAGACTGCTTTTACTGTTTCTGTGGAAAGAGGAACAGAAGAGATTGACCTCACCTTGTCTCTCATAATGTGAGACAATGGCTCTTCAGATGTCCCCGGCTTTGTCTATAGCTTAGGCTGGGCCCTAGCAGTGACAGTGTGAGCTACTGTCAAATAATGAGGGCTTGTCTCAAAAGGACAGAGGAGGAGGAGTCAGCTTCCTCTGTGAACTGTAGCTGTAGTCCTGCCGAGGAATTGCCTCCAGTCCCCTTCTCAATGGCTGGCTCCACAGGTCTGGACGTGTCCAGTCAGACCCTGTTAAGGAGGTCCCTCACAATAAGTCTAAGCATGCATTCCCTACGGTTGTGATTCTCTATTAAAGGACAGATTTGGGGACAGAAGACCTAGAAGAACAGAATTTGCAGTTCTGAGGCTAAACCCAGGGCCTTGTGCTTCCTTGGCAAGTGTCCTCTTCTAAAGCCAACCCCAGACCCTTAAAAACCATTTGGTTGGAGACAGGGTGGTCATTTAGCTGCCCAGGGTAACCCAGAACTTATTGTGTAGACCAGGCTGCCTTCAAATTTACAATCCTCCTGCCTCAGCTTTCCAAGTACCTGAGATAACAGGTGTGTACCACCAGGCTCTGCAGAGGGAGTTTTCTAAATGGGACTCTTAGGAATTGGTTCTCTTGGCTGACTAGGTTTATAGGCCATACTGATGGAAAGCTAGCATTCTGAAGGCAGGAGGAACATGAGTTCGAGGCAGGCCAGGTAGAGTTCAAGATTCTACCTCAAAAAATAAAGTACCGATGACTCTGCTCCCAGTGGTAAGGAGCTCTAGCAGCCCATGAGGCAGCAGAGACATGCAAAGATTGACTGCTACTAGATATGCTGAACAAAGCAGGGGGAAGGGCTGGGGATATAGCTCAATGCCTAGCACACTAAAGGCCCTGGGAGGAGAAAGAGGAAGAGGGGAAGAGAAGCAGGAGAAGGAAAAAGAGAAAGAGGACAAGGGGGAACAACAGCTGGGGTCTTTATTCTCCTCTCTCTCTCTCTCTCTCTCTCTCTCTCTTGGTTTTTTAAGACAGGGTTTCTCTGTGTAGCCTTGGCTGTCCTGAACTCAATTTGAAGACTAAGCTGCCTTGAACTCATAGAGATTCACCTGCCTCAGCCTCCCAAGTTCTGAGATTTAAAGGCATAAGCTACCACCCTAGGCTGGGGTCTTCAATCTCAACAAGTCATAAAACAGCCTGGACGCTTCTACACCATTGTTTACGGTAGCTGGAAGGCAGGGATGGCTGAAGATCAAACCGGCTCACTTGCTTGTAGGCCAATAGGAAGTGGTTCTATTAGGAGTGTGGCCTTGAAGTAGGTGTGGCTTTGTTGAAGGAAGTGTGTGACTAGGGGGTGGTGAGCTTTGAGCTCTCAAGAAGCCAAAGCCAGTTCTCTTCCTGCTGCCTTAGGATCAAAATGTAGAGCTCGCAGCTCCTCTCCAGCGCCATGTTTACCTGCATGCTACTCTCCATGAGGATAATGGACTGAACCTCTGAAACCGTAAGCCAGCCCCAATTAAATGGTTTCCTTTATGAGAGCTGCCATGGTCATGGTGTCTCTTCACACCAATAAAACCCTAAGACACTCATCATATTGAGTCGCTAGTCTTGAGGGGTGTCTGCTGTGAACATCTGAGGAGTGTCTAGTGTAAATACGTGAGCACTGACGTAAAGGGATGGGATCACAAACATTGGAAGATGGACATATGGGAAGATGTGGGTGAAACAGAAGATTGGAAATGGTTGTGAGCCACTTTTTTGGTGCTTTCCTCTGATTATACCAGCTTCTTTCGGCTTTTTTTTTTTTTTTTCTTACTGAGTCTCACTATGTGTCCCTGGCTGGCCTGGAACCTTTGGTGTGGAGCCACATGGTCACTCACTGGCAGTAGTGCTCTGGCCTCCACCTCCCATGTGCTGGGATTACAATCCTGTGCCATACAGGGCATGGTGGTGCATGCCTTTAATCCAAGCACTTGGGAGGCAGAGGCAAGTAGATTTCTGTGAGTTTGAGGCCAGCCTGGTCTACCTAATGAGTTCCAGGACAGCTAAGCTACTCAGTAAAACCCTGTTTAAAAACAAAAACAAGGACTGGAGAGTTGGCTCAGAGGTTAAGAGCACTGGCTGCTCTTCCAAGGGTCCTGAATTCAATTCCCAGCAGCCACATGGTGGCTCACAATCATCTATAATGAGATCTGGTGCGTGCATGCTGGCAGAGCACTGGATATATAATAAATAATGAATAAATCTTAAAAAAACAAAAACAAACAAGCCTCTGTCACCATACTTGGCTGACGGTACCAGCTTGAGTAATGTGCTGAACCCCGAAATAATCTGTGTGACTAGGAATGTAAAAACTCACAACCAGAAAGCAGGGAGTGATGAATGCAATTGCTGCTCAGTTCTTTCTCAACTTACACAGTTCAGGATCCCACAGCTAGGGAATGGTGCCGCCCAAAGTGGTGGGTCCTCCCACAGTTAACACAGCAAGATAATCCCCCGAAGACAAGCTCAGAGAGGCTTTTCTTAGGTGATTGCAGGTTCTGTGACCAAGCTGACAACACCATTGCAGTATCAAATCCCCAACCACGTGTCTGAACACTGGTGGTAGGAGTGCTGGCATAGTTCTCACTGACATTCCGCGGACGGCCACTCGGGAAAGGGGGACAAGCTGCTTGGAAGTAGACAAGAGTCCTCGAGTTGAATCTCTTCTGTCCCTGAAGGACCCAGGTCGTTTTTACAACAGGGCAGGGCAGCCCAGAGCTCTGTGTTCTTAATTGTTACTTCTTAATTCTTAAATGCCAATGTGAACTTGGCATTTCATTTTCACCAGAGATGTTACATGCTGCATGGAGTTCCATTGTGTAGTAGGCTCAGTTTCTCACTTTGTATCGGTTTCCCATCCCTTACAAAATATAGATTCCAGAGTATGTGAAAGTTGTAGCTGGGTCTGGTGGCACATTATCTGCAACCGTAGCAATTGGGAGCCTGAGGCAGGAGGATCACTCTGAATTCAAGGCCAGCCAACAATGCAGAATGAAACTGGGTACATGAGTCAGTGTTAAAGCATTCTCCTTGCATATGCAAGATCCTGAGTTCAGTCTCCATCACACACATGCTCTGCCTCTCCTCCCTCTAAAATTGAGCACGGTCCCTGAAGCCTGAAGCAGGATTGTTACGAGATGGAGGTCAGCCTGGGCTACCTAGTAAGCTCCAGAATAATGAGCTACAGAACTGGACCACATCTTGATAAAGCAAAACAAAAACCAGTGTATAGTAGTTAGAGGGAGTTGCTAGGCCTCACTGGGGGACCCAAGTTTTCAGAAGTTTAAAAACCAGTGCCATGCTGGTTGGCAGATACAGCTGGTGACCAGGGGATGGCTGTGAGATCCAGGCTCGCAGTGCTCTCTAATCCCACCAGCAAATATCACATTTGCTATGGATCATGTTTAAAACTGAACAACGGACCAACAGAAAACTGGCCTTGCTGCTTATTTTAGGGACTGGATCATAATTATAAAGACTGAGAAGCGAAGCCTGGTGAAAGATGGAGCCAACAAAGTGACCTCTAAAGCTAATGGCAAGGCCTGAGGACCTGGATCCAAACAGGACGCGAGTGCTGGTTTAAGAGCCACAGTCTGAGGGCCAGGGAGCAGAAGTTCTAAAGCCTGAGAGCAGGAGATGATGCGTGCCCAGCTCAAGAGAAAGCAGAGCCAGGCAGTGGTGGTGCACAACTTCAATTCCAGCACTCGGAAGGCAGGATCAGGGGAGTGTCTGTGAGTTCCTGAGGCCAGCCTGGTTTACCCAGTGAGTGCCAAGCCAGCCAGGGCTACAGAGGTAGGCTAAGGCGGCCCCCATTCTAAAGAATTCATGCAGGAACACAGCCACAGCAAGCAGTCAGGGGGAAAGCTGAAAGGAAGAACACTTTCCAGAGTGGAGGGCGAAGCTAGCCCGGAATCCACAGCAAAGGGGTGCTTGCAGATCTCAGTATAGCGCGCCTCCTCCCTTCGTCCATCCCTGGGGCTTTGGTGGTGGGGTGGGGCAGCTGCTTCCTGGAAGAGGTGGAGGTTTCTTAGAAACCACCCTTCCCCACAATCAGCCTGAGTCAATCACAGGAGTATGTGTAAGGGCGAAGCAAGCCATAAAGTCGAGGAGCTGGCTATGGGAAGGGAAAGGGCACTTGCAGAATGTGTAAAGGTGTAACTACCCCAAAAGCTGAGGCTTTCCTAGGGAAGGGTCAGTGATGTCCCTGCCTGTGGGGGTGGGGTTCTGCCTGGGGGTGGCACTGCCGTCCCTCCAGAGCCTGCTGGGTAGAGTCCTGTCCTTCCTATCTGGTCTGCCTCATACAAGCCCTCTTATTGTCTTCCTCGGTTAACCAGCCTTGCTGTTTTAACCCTATTCTTTTTTGAGTTTCGTATTTTATTATCGTGTGTGTACCACGTGCATGCCTGGTGCTGGAGGAAGTGAAAAGAGGTTGTTGGCTCCTCTGAGACTGGCGTTCTAGGCCAGCTTAAGCTACCCTATGAGTGGCGGGAGTCCAGCCTGGGCCCTCTGCAAGAGTCACAAGTGCTGCTAACCACTGCGAATGTTTGTTTTTACCTCATCTTTCTACCTTTCCACTGGGCACACTACCGTTGTCTGCCCGCCGCCCCTTTTTCTGAGACTGTATTTCCCATGTATCCCAGGCTGGCCTGGAACTTGAAATCTTTCTTCACCAACCTGTCAGCCTCTCGCATGCTGGGGTTACAGATGTGTACCAACCACATCTTATCATTTTCTTGTGTCTTCGGATAGTGTGTGCTATGGTCGATGTGACAGTAACTACCCGATGTCACTCCCAGCACATGTAGGTCTCCAGAGTGGCACTCCTGTGACATCTGTGACAGCCTTTCAGCCCCGGGTCTGACACTCTGACATGAAGATGGCAGCCAGGGTGATCTGGGGTAGCCTCAGCCTGCTTCGCGTCCTGTGGTGCCTCCTTCCCCAGACTGGCTACATACATCCAGATGAGTTCTTCCAGTCACCCGAGGTCATGGCAGGTAAACCCCCATGTGCTGTTAGTAAGATGGGCGGCCACCGTCGATATTTGGTGGGCAGGGAAATGCACGTGGGGGATGCGCAGACGGGCAACACCGCAACCTCTCCGGGATTAGAGCTGACAGTTCTCACCTTCTGGACAATGTTTATGAAATATCAGCCTTTTCCATGGTTTCCTGCTTGGGCCAACAGGTCATTCACAATGAGGGTTTCACTGGACTGGTCAGCAGGATGGCTTTAGGGCTGTACTTTCCCAGCAGCTAGGGAAGCTTACTCAGGATGTGACCTGAGTTGTTCAGGTTGTAAGGTTGCTTAACGTGTAAGTTCAGGAAGAAGGGTCCTCCTCCCTTAATTATTAGTCACCCACACATCCTCTTCTTTTTTTCATTTATTTATTTATTTATTTATTTATTTAGTTAGTTAGTTAGTTTTTTGCTTTTTTTGTTTTTCAAGACAGGGTTTCTCTGTGTGGCCTTGGCTGTCCTGGACTCTTTGTAGACCAGGCTGGCCTCGAACTCACAGTGGTCTGCCTGCCTCTGCCTCCTGAGTCCTGGGATTAAAGGTATGTGCCACTATTCCAGGCTCACCTTTTCTTTTTTGAGGCAAGGTCTCATACAGCCCAGGCTGGCTTTGAATTGACTATGGCCATGAACCCCTAATTCTCTGGCACCCGCTTCTGGAGTGCTATGATCACTGACAGGTAGCACCATGCCTGGTTTATGCTGTGCTGGGGATTGAACCCAGGACTTTGGGCACACTGGGTAGGCATTATTTTTTTGAGACAGGTCTCACACTGCAGAGCAGGCTTGCTCTTAAACTCATGGCAATATTCCCAGTAAGCCTGACTACTGAGAGTCATCACACACTTGGCGTCGTGATACAGGCCTATCCCACTGCTCAGAAGGTATTGCACGGCCACGTCTAGCCGCCAAAACAGCTGGGAAAGACGGTCTTTACACCTGGCCATGTGCTGAGCTAACAGACTAAAGGAGAAAGGTTCAAAGACACGAGGGACTGTTCTTTTGGAACAGCATCTCTCTCTACAGCTAAAGCTGGCTTCAAACTCACTGTGCAGCTCAGGCTGACCTCTGACTTTTAGCAGTCCTTCTGACTTCGCTCCCCACGTTACAAGTACACACTAGCGCACTCAGCTTGAGGACAGGAAGCATCATAGAAGGCCTGCACCTCACTTTGCCACAGGCAGATTTGAATCCTAAGTTGGAAAATTTGGTCCCCTTTCCTGTATTTATTTTGAATTAAGTCTCTCACGTGATCATAAACTCACTACATACCCTTAGGCTTTTTGCTCCTCCTGCCTCTGCCTCTCAGGCACTGGGATCCAGGCATGTGCCATCATACCTGGCTTCCAAGCTCATCCATGTTAGCACAACTGAATTCACTTCACTTGCAGAGCTGCGTTCGTTCTTTCCTTGCTGTTTCTGGAGGCCACCCGCATTGTCGTCAATAGACCCTTCATCCTTAAACCATCTGGGACACATAAAATCCTTTTCCTGCTTTGGGTCTTTGCCCTGTCTCCTCTGCATCCAGCTGAAGGCTCTCCGCTGTTAGAGAGCTGGGGAGAGAGGACAGGCCTCGAGGCTCCCACAAAAAGTAGTTTAATCAAAGCACTGAAACCCAAGCTGAGCCGTCCCAGGGGGTTGTGCTGGAAGTGTCCACTAGGGGGCCCTGTAGGCCTGGTGCCAACGCCAGAACTCTGAGCAGCACAAGCCTAAGCTTGGAACTAGCTCACCCCTGCCTCTCTCTCTGCAGAGGACATCCTGGGTGTGCAGGCTTCACGGCCCTGGGAATTTTACCCCAGCAGCTCCTGCCGCACTGTGGTCTTCCCACTGCTGACCTCTGGCTCTGCCTTCTGGTTGCTCAGGCTCTGGGAAGAGCTGGGGCCCTGGCCTGGTCTGGTGAGTGGCTACATGCTGCTGGTGGGGCCCCGACTCCTCCTCACAGCACTGTCCTTTGCCCTGGACTGGGCTATGTACTATCTGGCCCCGCTGTGGGGCGCAGATCGTTGGAATGCCTTGTGTCTGCTGTCTGGTTCCTATGTCACCCTGGTTTTCTACACAAGGACCTTCTCCAACACCATCGAGGGACTGCTCTTTACCTGGCTGCTGGTGCTGGTGTCCCCTTACGTGGCAAGGAGTCCCACATCAAAGAAGCCTGCCCCAGGTCCACGGTGGCACAGCTGTCTTCTTGGTGCTATCGTGGCTGCTGGCTTCTTCAATCGGCCAACCTTTCTAGCCTTTGCTCTGGTCCCCCTCTCTCTCTGGGGCATCCATAGGGCCTTGGAACTTGGCATCAAGGCCCTGATCCAGGAGGCCCTGGTGCTGCTGCCAGGGGCTGCTCTTGCCGCAGTGCTGTTTGTAGCCATGGACAGCTGGTACTTCTCCAGCCCCTCAAGATCCAGCAGTCTTGTTCTTACACCTGTCAACTTCTTGTACTACAACCTGGATCCCCAAAACCTTGCAAGGCATGGCACACATGCACGGCTCACCCACTTGGCTGTCAATGGCTTCCTGCTCTTTGGGGTATTGCATGCTCAAGCTCTGCAGGCTGCATGGCAACAACTTCACAGCTTCGTCCATGCGTTTGCACAAACGGGCCTCTTGAGGGTGCTGGATGCCCAGGGTCTGCTATCTAGCTCCAAGTCTAATCTCCTTCTCCTCTACTTCACACCCCTGGTCCTGCTATCTGCCTTTAGCCACCAAGAGGCTAGATTTCTGATTCCCCTCATAGTCCCTGTAGTCCTGCTTTGCACTCCGCAAACACAACCTATACCCTGGAAGGGCACCCTGGTCCTCTTCAATGCCCTAGGTGCTCTCACCTTCGGCTGCCTGCATCAGGGAGGTTTGGTACCTGGCCTTAAGTACCTGGAGCGGGTAGTGCATGCGCCTGTCCTCTCAGGCATGACGACTCACTACACACTTCTCTTCACTCACACCTATATGCCTCCCCAGCACCTCCTGCACCTCTCGGGCCTGGGATCGCCCGTAGAGGTGGTGGACATGGGTGGGGCTGAGGACTGGGTCCTGTGCCAAGCCCTGAACAACTTCAGCACACAACCAGCCTGCCAATTGGCTGGTGGACCATGGCTCTGCCGGCTGTTTGTGATAACTCCTGGGACCAACAGGGATGCCCTGGAGAAGTGCAGTTTTTCCCTGAAGAATGAGACTCTCTTGTTTCCCCACCTGACCCTGGAGGACCCTCCAGCCCTGTCCTCCCTGCTCAGTGGGGCTTGGAGGAACTACCTTAGTCTTCACATCATAGAACTGGAGAAGGCTGTCACTACAAATCAGCCAGGGCCCAAGAGTCAGCCATAGAAGGTACCGCTCCTCCTTCTACAGTCTTCCAGGCTGGGACGTTGAACAGGACTCCACTGCTGTTTCTTCTGGGCACAGTCACAGGTTGTTGTTTTAGGTGAACACACATCCTTTCCCTCAGACACCAAAGATCTGACCAGTCACGGTCCCGATGCCAAGGTCCCCAAAGAAACCCATCTTAACCATTGGCACCTGCCTGTTTCTATGCCGTTACTTCCAATCATTGTAATGTTTAAAATATATAGTAGCACCTGGTTCTGAAAGACAATGAACTGCTGACAGCATTCCTGCGTGGCCTCTCCCAAGCTTTCCACAACGCCTGACTTCTTGCTTCCACGACAACCCTCTGATTTCCAATCTGGCTACAACAGGGTGGTGAAGTAGAGAAAGCAGATAGTTTGGATTCCGCTCTAGCCTCAGTCTGCAACTGACAAACTGTGGTCGTAAGGAAGTTCCTTCCACTCGGCCAACCTGCTATCCAACCTTACTGAAGATGGGAAGATCTGAAGAGCAGTGTCATTCCTGGAGCCCATAGCACATGTCCCCTAGCTTGATAAACGTGTCTCTGAAGGATTCTTTAACTGGGAAGCAGTAGTTGTGTTACATTTCATGGTGCTTTGGTGCCTGTGGACTCAGTATCTGGGAATTACCAAAACAAGCCACTCTGGAAAATGCCACCCTACCCTCTTCTACTCCTTGTCTTGAGTGGTGGTGGGTTTCTCCAGTCATTCTCTCAGACTGGGTAACAGGTCAGTGACAGAGGGTCTGTTTAGCGTGCTCAAGGCTGTAGGCCTGATCCCAAGGGAAAAAAATCTCTCAGAATAAGAAAGCTTCTCAGCACTGCTGTGAGGATCTTAGCCTGTTCCAGTGGGAACTGAGAACACAGACCGCTCAGAATCTGGTATCCAGTCTGAAACCTTTTCCAGTTGCTTCATGCCTTCCAGATGCTAAGATGAACTGAGTGGCCTACACAGAGAGGTCCACAAAATGAGGTAGGAGTCTCAAAAGGACAAGGCAAGATACATGCATGGATTACTAATCACAGTTCAGTCAGCTGACCATAGTGAATACCATACCCCAGAAAGACCCTCGAAATGGGGAAGAGAAAAAAAAAGAATCATGCGCCACGGTATCAGAGGCCTTGATGCCTACTGGCGATAGAAAAGGCAGTCCCTGAGCAGGGTAAATGCTGCAAAGATTAGGGTGTGATCAAGAGCACAGGCCTTGGAGTCACAAGCCTGGGCTCACCTCACTCTGCAAGGCTTTGGGTTACTTGAAAAGTGGCCTCCACTTCTTCACATGAACAGGATTTTAAGTTACAAACCACACAGAATGCAACAGCAAACACCAACACAGACGCTTACCGTGTTAACTATTATTAGGAAGATCCTACAGTCCCCAGCATTCCACCTTGTCTGAGAAATAGCACATTCAGACTTATTAATCAGCTTACACATTTAATCAGAGATTTTGGCAACCTCAGGGTTGTCATTCCGTCCACTATCTTCCCTGATGCAGTATTCTCTTGCACTAATGCAGATGCAGCGGCCATTTATTCAGCTTCGGTCCCGCTTGCAGAAGACAGGCTTTCTTTCTGGCTGTTTGTCCATGACTTTCAGTTGTGCTCTGTTCTGGTCTAGACTCTTATTATTGGTGGGCTTCGGGTCTTTACGCCTGGCCTAGTCACAGGACTACGAGGCACATGTCCATTTGACCTTAGGCACCTGCACGATAACAATCCGAGTCAGGATTCGAGGCCGCGTATCGTGTCCGAGATGACTCAATGAACGGTCGGTGTAGATCACTGAAGGGAGGGTACAGTCCGTGCTTACGCGTTGGCGCTCGGGCCCTTCTGCTGACCTGGTGGCGGCCCTGGACGGTCCCGGAAGCCGCGGCGGAGTTCCTGGGTGAAAGTGTCCTTGAAGCGCGCGGCGCGGCGACCCAGTGAGCCCGGGGGCTGATCCGCGAGGGCGCGCAGTTGGCGGGCCGCATCGCGGCCGCGCAGTTGCAGCTTCAGCAGCGCGAAGGCCGTGAGTTGAGCCGCCCGCCGGATGGGCCACGACTCGGACAGCCGCTCCACCAGCTGCGGGCTGTGCAGCAGGGCCGCCAGCAGCCGCCGGAAGATCATCGTTCCCCGGGCGCCCCAGAACCCTAGGCACGCTGTACTCGCCTTCCGACCGGTCCCGCCCACTCGGCGCTGCAGGATGACGACACAGCCGCACCAGGATTGGCCCCGGCTACGTCCGCTTTCTGCAGCGGGCCGCACACATTTCCGTTTCCGCCGCCGCCGCCGCCGCCGCCGCCGCCGCCGCCTCCTCCTCCTGGTCCTTCTTGCCGAGGCCGTTTCGAGGTTTGTGTCTCTGCACCATGTCGGGTGGCCTCCTGAAGGCGCTGCGCAGCGACTCCTACGTGGAGCTCAGCGAGTACCGGGACCAGCACTTCCGGGTAAGGCGGGCCGGGCCACGAGAGGGGCAAATCTTGGGCCGGAATGCTGAGAAACGGTTTGCACTTGTCTTAGTGTGTCTTCCTTCCTGTTTGCTGGAGACCCCAAAAGCGAATGGCGTCCCAGCGGTGTTTGTATATTACTGAAGCCACTTATCTCCTAGAGAATCTCAGCTTGCTTTCACATTTTCTTGATGCCGCTGCGAGTACCGCCCCCCAGGGAGGTTCGGGTAGTGGTAGCTCCTGTTTGATGTGTTTGTCTTGCTTTGGAAAGTGACTGTAATAAGATAGGAGGTATTCCTGTGGCGGCTGGCCCAGACACTACAACCTGTTTTGTTTTTATAGTCAGCCAGACATCACCCTTAGGTACTTCAGTCCTTTATTCTGTCAGTCCTACAAAGTTGACAGTAAGTAGAAAACTCAGGAGTCCTGTTGTGCTGTCTGACAGGCATCGGAATGGACAGGCCAACATGAGTCACATTAAGGTTGTCTGGATGGCAAAATTCACTGCTACAATCAGTGGCTACAGAGAAACCCTGTCTCGAAAAACCAATACAAAACAAAAAGAAATTATATCAGCTTAATTTTAAAATGTTTGCTGTGTATCTGGTATGAGTTTCACTTCTACTACTTTGAACACTTTCACATCAATAACTAACCATTTCGAATTTGAAGCATCCCGCAAAATTAAAATCAGGAGAGGAGTCATTCATTTCTGTTGTCAAAAGCCTACTGTCGTCTTTGGACAGTAGTAATTTCTGTCATGCGCATTTTCTAGTATATTCTGAATGCAATGTATCAGTGCTGTATTAAGTGAAATTAAGTAACACTGAAGTGATAGACTCTGTATTTCACTTGTATATGAGAAAAGAGCAGCAGTACAAAGTGAATTTGCTAGCCAGGTGTGGTGGTGGACATCTGTGGTTCTAGGAGAAAGTTTGAGATCAGCATGCACATGTAAAAAGCAAACACCTAAATGATTGTTTTCTCTAATGTCTCACCTAAAGTTCTGAAATTGTTCCATAGACTTAACCTGTTCAGTACTGTAGCGATCTTAAGGCAGTATAGCAGTGGAGATAAGACCAGTTTTATTTTGTTTTTTTTTTTTTTGTTTTGTTTTGGTTTTTTTTTTTTTTTGAGACAAGGTCTCACTATATAGCCTTGGCTGACCTGGAACTCACCATGTAAAACTAGGCTGGCTTTGAACTCACCAAAGGTCCACCTGCTTCTGCCTCCCAAGTGCTGGAATTAAAGGAGTGTACCACTGTGCTCAGCCCAAGACTAAGTTTGAATTCTTGCTATAACTGCTGTGTAGTGTTTCACCTTAGGTGACCCAGCTGTTTTCCTCATGTATAAAATGGGAATGATGCATTAGGATCTGTCTCATACAGTTCTGAGAATTAAATGAAATTTACATGTAGCTCTCTGACTTGCAGTCCTTTGAGCGTCCCCAGCGGTAGACAGAATTACTGTTTTCTTGTGTATAGCTACCTGTTCTTGCTTTTTAAACCTGTAACTTGGAGAGCTAGAGAGATGGCTCAGGTTAGCACAGGCTTCCTCTAGAGGACTCAGATTCAATTCCCAGCATCCACATGATGGCTCACATCTGTCACTCCGATTCCATGGGGATCTCATGCCCTATTCTGGTCTCTGAAGATAGTAGGCACAGTGCACAGACTATACATGCAGGCAAAACACCCATATACATAAAATAATAAGCCCAAACCAAAAGAACTGTAATTTGAAGTGGGTGTGGTGGCCCATGCGCGTTATCACAGCATTTGAGGGAGGCTATAGCAAGAATATGAGACATTTGACAACAGCTTGGGCTATGTGGTCCTGTCTCAACAAAACGAATCAACTGAGCTGAGTAAACATAGCTCAATACGTAGGATGCTTGTCTAGCAAGTATGGAACCCTTGGGTAGACCTTGAGCTGTACATAACCCCAGAGTGGTGGCGAATGCCTGTAAGCCCAATGCTTGGAAGGCGGAGACAAGAGGCTCAGAAGTGCTGTCATCCTTGGTTACACAGGAAGTTCAGTACAGCCAAAGCTACATGAAACCTGTCTCAAAAATAAAACAAGGGGCTGGAGAGATGGCAAGTACTACTCTAGCATAGGACCCCAGTTCAGTTACTAGCATACTAGGTATGTCACAACCAGTTTCATGGAATCTAATGCTTCTGGCCTCAAAGAGCTACCCCCCCCCACACACACACACGGAGAGAAAGGGAGAGGGGAGACGGGGGTGGGAGGAGGAAACTAACTTAAAAATAAATAAAACTACAGAGCTGGCTTAGTGGTTAAGAGCACATACTCCTGCAAAGGACTCAAGGTTGGTTCCCAGTATCCACACCACATGGCTTAGAAATGCAACATCAGATCCAGGGAATACAACAACCTGCTCTGGCCTCTGAAGGCACTGCCTTCACATGCATATCCACACACAAACACAGACAAATAAATTTAATTTGACCCTTCATACTCTTTGTTTCTTGGTTCTTTCACTTTGCACTTGCTCTTGGAATGCCTCAGAGGTTAAGAGCACTTGCTACTCTTGCTGAGGAGCAGGGTTTGGTTCCCAGCCCCCACCAGGTGGCTCACAACCACCTATAACTTCAGTTCCAACCGTCCCTCTTCTGGCTTCCACGGGTACTGTGCAAATGTGGTACGTGTACATACCTAGAGGTAAAACTTACATTGAATAAAATCTTTATAAAATATCAAATAAAAACAAAAAGAATTCTAGCTCCAAAGTAGCCTGAACGAAGTTTCTAGTTCTGGAAGACTGAAGCCCAACTAGAATAAGCTGTGGTGAAATACACCAGACTCTTCATTTCCTCTCCGTGTTTCCATGGTTTTCTAATTTACCACTAAATGCGTTCACAGAAAACCTGCTATCCTGACTCTTTGCTACAAAGCATACAGAGGTGATTAAGGCACTCATATTCTCAGAATAAAGGGACCTGAGCCAGCATTACCTAAGGAATACTAAATGGAAAATGAAAGATTGAGTGAATGCCCTGAATATGAGTCTTCTCAGCTACTCCCTAGGCTGGATTCCACCATCTGGTTAATGTCTGTGCCCTCACACTAGGTAAAAAAGTCTGGTCAGTTTGTAGGTCTGCGTAATCACATCTGAACATCTATGTCTTTTCTAGTGGGGATGCTAAAAGGCACCCCCATGTTTGGGCTTGTTTGGGTTTTTTGAGACAGGGTTTCTCTGTGGAACAGCCCTGGATGTACTGGACTCCATTTGTAGACCAGGATGACCTCGAATTCCACCTGCTTCCGACCCCAAGTGCTGGGATTAAAGGTGTACGCCACCACGCCCGGCTGCCCCCTCACCTTTGTAGAGACATCTAAAATGCCACACTAACTGAGTGTGGCGGCTCATGCGTGTAATTGCAGCGTTCAGGAGGCTGAAGCAGGATGTTTGTAGTTCAAGACCAGTCTAGACTACAGTCTAAGGTCCTAGAGAAAAGAGGTGGGGCCTAGGGCTGGAGATGTTGTTCAGCATGGAACCTTGAGGCCTTGAGTTTGTTCCCCATCACCACAAGTAATCAGATACCATGTCTAGGCCGCAATGAACCATCTTATCCGTAGGGATTGTCAGGTGTGTTGGTTGAAGCCAAACTCCTATCTCCAGCTCTTTGGCTGCATCCTGTCTTTTAGAGAAAAGTTACTTCACCTGGACTTGGTTGTACACACCTGAGGCAGGTGGGTCTGAGTTCTAGGCCAACCAAAGCTACCCAGTCCTCTTAGTAATCTTAACCTCTCACTTATACAAATATAAGCATGCAAATCACTTAGTAGTTCTTGTTATGACTAGGCTCTAGGGGTGTATTACAAGGGTTTACTTTTTGTTATAAAGGGTAAAGGGTCTTTCTGATATGTTCTGTCAAGGTGTAGAATTTAAACTTGGGCCATTAGAGAAGGCTCTAACACTGGGGGCATGGACTGTGCAAGAACAAGGCATGCCACTCCTGTGGCAGTGTGGTATAGGAGGAGTTACATGTTTTGTCTCTCCACTAAAAACAGTCTGAACCTCATGTTAGTATTTTAGAATGGGAATACTTCCAGGCTGGCAGAGTTCTTGTCTAACCCAAAATAAACAAACAAAAAATTTCCACACTTTAAAACGTTTTTATTTTCTGTATGAGCATTTGCCTGTGTGTGTGTGCGCACGGGCACATACATGTGTACCATGTGCATGCCTGGTGACCAACCACAAAAGCAAGAAGAGGGCATTGAATCACTCAGGACTGGCGTTATTGACAGTTATAAGCTGCCATGCGGGTAATGGGAATTGAACCAGTGTTCTCTAGAATAGTCAGTCTCTTAACCTATGATCTATCTCTCCATCCACCCCCAACTCCTACCCCATACAGAAGAAAAGGATGAGGAGAGACTTTAATTTCCAAAATCAGAATGTTAATCTTTATTCTATTTAGGAATATGACTTTAAGCAAGGCTCTTCATTTTTAGTTCTCAAATCTGTTCATTGTATGTGAATGCTTTGTGGAGGGCACAGAAAACTTCAGAAATTGGTTCTTGCCTTTCACCCCTTTGAGGATTCACTCGTTTCTGCTCTGCACTGTGCACTCCAGGCTGGACTGGCCCCCAGGCCTGCAGATCCTTCTGTCTCTCTACCCCATATCCCAGCCCTAAGCAAATCTCTTTTTAGGTTGTAATATTTAACTTCATCTCTTTTTTAATTTCTAGGGTGACAATGAAGAACAAGAAAAATTACTGAAGAAAAGCTGTACATTGTATGTTGGAAATCTTTCCTTTTATACAACTGAAGAACAGATTTATGAACTCTTCAGCAAAAGTGGCGACATAAAGAAGATCATCATGGGTCTGGATAAAATGAAGAAAACAGCATGTGGATTCTGTTTTGTGGAGTATCCTTCTTGGGTATCTAATGTAGCTGTTGAACCAGGACAGAACTCAAAAGCTTGAGCACCTGCCCCCTCAACTTTTTTTTTGAGACAGGGTCTCACTGTATGGCCCTGGCTAGCTTGGACTCTAGCCATCCACCTGTCCCTGCCTCCTGGGTGTTAGGAATAAAGGTATAAAGATGTGTACCACTTGTTTTAACTTAACTATACTTTTCTTTCACTTCTTCCTATGAGTCCATATTCTGCAACTGTGAAACTGATAATTACATTCTGTTCAGAAATTTTGAGTGTTTAGCTGGATGTGGTGTGATACACACCTTTAGTCCTTTTAATCCTAGCACTCAGGAGGCAGATCTCTGAGTGTGAGCTCAGCCTGATCTACTTAGTAAGTTCCAGAACAGCCAAGCTACATAGTGATACTTTTTTTTCTTTTCTCTCTCTCTCTTTTTTTTTTTTTTTTTTTTTTAGTTTTTTTGTTTTTTGTTTTTCAAGGCAGTGTGTCCCTATGTAGCCTTGCTGTCCTGCACTTGCTTGCACAACCTGTAGACCAGGCTGGCCTCGAACTCAAAGAGATCCATCTGCTTCTGAGTGCTGTGATTATAGGTAGGTGATGACTCAGAGCGACATGGTGAGACCCTGTCTCCAATTTTAAAAAACAAAACAAAACAGTGGACTCTTTTGTTTTTCAACTAGCTCTAAACTCTAGGGCTCAGCCCCCTAGGCAGCTGAGTATATAGAACCATGCCACCACAATTTTGGAGTCTAGGTGTCAGACATTAGAATTTCACTAAATATTTCCCTATCAGAAGAATCTAGACCAAGTCAAGCTGCTAATTATAATTGCTTAAGCCAGTAATTAAGATTTTTATTTACAAAAAAAAAAAATTTTATTTACATATGTATAAGCATGTTTCTGTGTTTATGCATGTATATGGATAAACATGGTTCTTAAATTTATTGTTGTTGTTTTTTTTTTTATAAGTGAGTGCTTTGTGAGCATGTATGGCTGTACCTCATATATACGTGGTGCCCTCTGAGTTCAGAAGAGGGCATCAGATCCACTGAGAACTGGAGTTACAGATGGTTGTAGACCACCATATAGGTTCTGGGAATCAAGCCCAGGTCTAAAAGAGCACGTACTCTTAGCCACTGAGCCATTGCTCCAGGCCCTTTTGGGTTTTGTTGTTGTTTTGTTTTTTTACTTTGTTTTGAAACAAGTCTTGGTATGTAGCCCAGACTGGCCTCAAATTCACAGCAGTCCTCCTGCTTCAGCCTCTTGAGTACTAGGATTAGAGACATGAATCAGTGTTCGACTTTATCATTATTCTTGCATAAGAAGTTTGTGGTCTGATATTACACTATGTTTTCCACATTCAAATTAAGACATGGACCAGATAATTATCAGCAGATATATTTAGGAAATCAGGAATGACTCAGGCCTGGACAAATGTTATTTACCTGTCCTTTACTGCCTAAGTGCTATTGGACCAACTTTGAACTGGCTTCTACAAAATGAATTAATCTGGTAGGGCTAGCTTTTCTACTTGTTTTTTTGTTTTTTTTTTAGCAGCTCTGTATCATGTAGGTGTGTTTCTTTCTCCCTGTCTCCAAAATGCTTGAGGAAGAAGAAATGCTAGTGTTCCTTAATACTTACACTTAAGATACTATTCAAGAGCAGATGCGGAGAATGCAATGCGGTACATAAATGGAACTCGTCTGGACGACCGGATCATACGCACAGACTGGGATGCAGGCTTTAAGGAGGGCAGGCAGTATGGACGTGGACGGTCTGGGGGTCAGGTATGCTACAAGGGTGCCTGACCTGAATTTCTGCCTAGGATTCCAGCTATAATACGGGTCTTTCGTCAGTTTTTGGTTATTCTTTTATAAGGAGCTCGTGCTGTTAAGTTTTGATAGGGTTTTTTTTTTTTTTTTTTTTTTGGGGGGGGGGTGTTCTGAGACAAGATTTTGCCATGTAGCCAAACTGGCATCAAACTTGAGATCCTCTTGCCTTTGCCTCCTGAATGTTGACATTATAGATGGGTGCACATCAGGGCCAGTGATAAAGGAATTTGAAACTCTGAAATATTCTGTACATTTTTCTTATCTGTTACTAAACTCATGCTAGGGGCTGTCCCCCTGCAAAAATGCCTGAACAAAAAGCAAAATACACTCAAATGAGTTTTACTTTACATTTTATGCCCTGCTTATTTGTGGACACCTGAGAAGGTTTAGCTATGTCTGGCATGATGGCAGAGGCATATTTGTTGCATCAACATCCCACAGTGCTGTATTTCTTTCAATTAAGGTTCGAGATGAGTATCGAGAGGACTACGATGCTGGGAGAGGCGGCTATGGAAAACTGGCACAAAAACAGTGAGTGCTGAGAGCCCCGAGTACACAGCTCACGCTGTTGATGTTGGCGAACAGTACCAAGGTCTGACCAGTGTCTCTGTTGCACTGGAAGCCACCTCTGGTTTTGCTCTGAAATATTAAAAGACAGAATCCAAAAGAATGCCTTTAATTCTAGTCTTATTAGGATGATTTTCTGTTATTATGTCAAAAACTATATTCCTAGGCAGCAGACTCAATCTGTGCCAATTAAACTGTCAGCTGAATGCCACACTTTTAGGCAGACTAGAAAAAGTGTGAGAATTGGCTTTACAAGGTTGGTAATCTTCATGAGGACTGAAAAATTTTTTATATTTTAAGTTTGCATGTTTATTGGTAAAGTTTTGATATCGGCTGTAACTCTGCTCTAAATTAGGAACAGATGTTTGTCAAGTGAATCTGCTTTTTATATTTCAATATAGTTGGCATAAAAGTCAGCCTTAAATGGCCCTGGGGCTGCCACCTGCTCATATACTTTAGTAAACACTTCAAATCCTGATGCATAAAGTTCTCAATAGATGCAAATGTTTCAGTTTAAAACAAAGCAAGAAAAACAGAAACAAAAACCCAAGGACTTTGTTATACAGAGAGGCTCTGAAATCCTAAGAAGTAGGGGAAGACATTGTCAGTGGGGCATGGAATGAAAGTTCAAACATTCCCTCAATATGGTAGCTGAGATTGGAGCCATTAGAGTATGTCTTCCTGTTTTCAAAATGAGAATGGGCATTAGAAAAGGGCTTCAGCCAGGCCAGTAATCCTAGCTACTTGGGAGGCTGAAGCAAGAGGATCAAAAATTGAAGGCCAGCCTGGGCACCTTTTGAGTATGTCTCAAAATACAAACATAAAAATGGCTGGAGAAGACACAGGGCACAGTGGCTAGGTACTTAGTATGTGAGTAGTCTGGTTTAACACTCAGAACTACCTAAACAATCACAGTGTGACAATTGGGAGTGTTTACAACAGAAAGCCTCTAGGAAATGTCTGTTACAACTAATCCACATCTTTTAGCTTTTTTCCTTCAACTTGTGCTGAGGGCCATGTGTAATAGTAAGCTGGAGGCTGGGCTCTACAGAAGATGCCTAGAGAATGTTTTTCCCCCATCTTCCAATTCTCACTAGTTTTTCAAAGTTGAGGCAGAATATCTTTTCTTGGCACTGTAATGACTGTAATGCTTAGAAACCCATTTGTGAACACTCAATAAGGAGACACTCGAGTTTTAAAATAAAGCTTTTATACTGTAGTTTGAACTGTTTATCTTATATTCTTTTGTAGTAAAATATAACTTAGGTATCTATAATCTTAAGACCCAAAACAGTGGGAATTTTATCTTCTGTAACAAGTTTCAATAAAGTTAGACCAACTTATTCTGTGTATATTTCCTCGCCTATAAAAGAGGGATGTGTTTTGGTGCTCCTTTACCCTGGGAGAGTTTGATTAATGTATAGAATTTGTATATCCATTTCAGTTTGATATTTGCAACTACTTATGGCAGCATATGAAGAGGAAGCATGGTGCCCCCTGTGAAAACAAGACACACTAAGCAAACACTAAAAGAGTAGGGCAAAAAGAGGCCAGTTTTCCAGAAGTCATATACTGCAGATGCTGGGACAGGAAGGAAATGGGGCTGAATTAAGAGGATGTTTCTTGGGCTTCAGGATGCTGATTTGGCAGTCTTTCTTTCCTATTTCAAAGACATTATCTGAACTGTGTATCTCACTTTAGTCAAAGAAGGTGAGATCTCAGAGAAACATGCCAAGTAGGGTGTAGTAACACATGCTTGTAACCCTAACACTTGGGAAGCTGAGGGTAAATGATCATAGGCAAGATTACAAAGCAAGGACCTATCCAAAGTCAGGCACAGTGCACACTCTTATGATCCCAGCACTGGGATTACAGGGAGGCAGAGGCAGTTGGATCTCTGTGACTTCCAGTCCAGCCTGGTCTACAAAGTGAGTCCAGGAGAGGCAAAGAAACAAAAAAACAAACCCTGTCTCCAAAACAAAACAAAACAAAACAAAAAACTATCTCAAAAGGCACAACCAATCCCTATTCCAAAGAACAGCAACAAAAAACTACAAAGAAACAACAACAACAAAGCCCACAGAGACATGTAGGCTACAATGTGGGTAAAATTACTAGCTTCCCATATATTGTAAACAAAAGTATACAACTTGAGACTTGGTTTAGAGCTCTGACACCCAATATGCTGGCCAGACACCATCATAAAAACAATAAAATTGGGGCTGGAGCAATGGCTCAGGGCATTTGCTGTCTGCCTGAGAGCTGTGTTCACTCCCTAGCACTCATGCTCACAACTATCCATAACTCTAGTTCCATGGGAGCCAGTACCCTCTATGAGTACCGCATGTACACTTACATGCAGAACACTCATAAGTAAATGGTATCAAATGATTGTTAGCTGGACATTGGTGGTGCATGCCTTTAGTCCCAGCACTAGGAATCCGTTGAAGGCAGAGGCAGGAGGATCTAGAGAGCAAGTTCCAAGATAGCCAGGGCTACACAAAGAAACCTTGTCTGGAAAAAACAAAATAAATAAATAAATGTTGTGATTCTTTGTTGTTGTTTTGAAACACTCTCTATGTGTATCTCTCTCCTGGCTGGCCTGCAACTCATTTAGACAAGGTTGGCCTCAGATGCACAAAAATCTACTTGCCTCTGCCTTCTGGAATTAAAGGCATGCACTACTTACACACATGGCAATAAGAAGATAAAACCAACTCTTGACTTTTTAGTCCCGCCAAGCACATTTTCCCCACTCTGTAGCTGCATGTGGCGGGTCGCTGCGGTGGCATAAACTAGAGTGTGTCCAAAAACGGAGCACCTGCCGCAGCTCTACGCGTAGAGCTGAATAGGGCGGGCAGTGGCTCAGTGAGCCTTGTCACCACTGAAGGGACACTAAGAAACAGTCTACTCACCACACAATACAATGCATTCGACACAAGAGAACACATGTTTATAAAGGCATTTAGTTTATTTTCAAAAAATATTTTGCTAGAAGGGTTGAGTACTGACCGTAATTTTACATGATCATATTCTTTTAATAAAATCTTTCTGACCAACAGAAATCATTCACGTCAACAACTTGTCTAGGTCTATCTTGTAACCCCATAGACAATAGCACTTCTTGGATGCTAGTCCCCAGATCTTAGCTGTCTACCAGCCAGGAGGCAGAGCTAGCACATAGCACAACTATGCGCTTTGTAGCTGTTGATTAACTTGGTTTCTTAACATAATGAAGCAGAGCAGATAATCAGTGCATTGAATTTACACTAACAACTCACTGTTTCTGACCTGCTCACACCCCCGATGGCTCCTAAGGAAGAAGCAGTGAGCCACAACTCACTGCACAACTAATATTAGGTGAGAACTGGCTCGCCCCTAGATACTCTGTTACTATTGTATTCCAACCATAAATCCAAGATGACCATGCTATTCATAGTCAATGGCAAACAGAGAATACAGTGCAAAGCCAAAAAATGTGCTATGAAATTATTGGCAATAACTGCTTTTCTCTTCCTTGAGAGGCCAGCTGAAAGTTAAATCTCCATGATTCGTAGGAAATCTAAAAGATGAATTAAATCTATTCATTGCTAGGGTTTAACAAAAGGAAAGATAATGGAAAGAAGCAACTACAGTCAGATAAGTTTGCCCGTAAGGTCCCTGGCAGCTTGTTGAAGGCTCATATGTGAATAGCTTTAAGCCTGTGCAAGGCTTACATTCATCCCCAGTGACACAGGGTCTGCCTGCTTTATAGGTATCAACAATTCAGTGTCAAGCCAGTGACAGTAAAACATTACTACAAGACAAAAGAGTTTGCAATCTAGGGCTTGAAAGCTAAACAGACGTTTGCATGAAGAGAAAAAACAGCTATGTGTGCTGAAACCAAGTCAGCACATGACAGAGACAGGCTTAGAACACACTGAAAATATCCAGCATTTAGGCTAAACCAAGTTGAATAGTACATCTGAAGGTGCCCTATCATGCTAGAAGGGAAAGAGTAACCGGATCTGGATGGCTGCGTCTCTGTTCATCCCTGCATGCCTCACTCCTGACATGACCCTTTCTCAATCTGGAGAGGTAGTAACTCAGACTCTGGACATTATGATTCTCCCAGGCATTGAACATGCTGGTGCACCCACGTAATCCAAACATCAGGGAGGCTGAGGCAGAAGAACTGCAAGTCTGAGGCCAGCCTGAGCCAAATAAAGACCCTGTTTCATGTTTCAACAAAATTCTCAAAGGAACAATTGTAACTTCTGCATGATGGGTCTGCTGTTGGGCAAATGAGATGCTTCCTCAAGACTAAGTTGGAGACATTCTGAGTCAGCCATCTCATTACTGGCTATTTCAGTACAGGCACAGAAGCAAGTCCACTAATGCCTTGCATATAGACTTTGAAGAAGCTCATGTCGGCGTAGGTATGTCTAAAAGTCCTAAGAGTACATCTTTAGGTGGCCGTGGAGACAGACCTGTGTCCTCGTCCCCGGGAGAGGACTGAGAATTCGAGCTCATCTTCAGGTACATAATGAGTGTGAGGCTAGTCTGACACAGGAGCCCCTGCTCCCAGACCTCTTCTTTAAGAGATCTTCAAGCACCCTGGCCTGACTGGGCTGGCCTGTAATCCTCGCTACTCATGTGGCTGAGAGTATAAACTCAAGGCCAGGCTCAGCCATAGAGCAAATGCAAGGCCAACCTAGGCAACTTCATTAGACCCTGTCTCAAAATACAAAAACATAAAACAACAACAACAAAATGTACAAAGAGGGCTAAGGGCTAAGCTCAGTGGTAGAGTACTTGCCTAACATACAAACAAGCCCTGGCTTCAATCACCAGTACCTGCAGAAACAGTAAAGATAACTTCCCCTATCTAAATTCTCATCTTCCCCAGTGGTGACACAACCTTACCTGTGGCAGGCAACAAAGTACCTCTACTCAAGTCTTTTTAATGACCTGAAGCACAAGAAATGCTGACCTGGTTTTATGCCAAGGACTTTGAGTTTGGGTGACTGAAAATACCAAGGCCACTGCCCAGTGCCCCTGCTGCTATTGAGAATCCTGCATGTAAATCTAATTTTGATTCAACCCTAACGAGGCAGTAAGCCCTACTCAACCATTTTACCTTTTGTTTTTTAAACATCTCATGCCTAAGTAGGCAGTTATCTTCTGCCATTTACTTGGTAGTTTTTTTCATGAGTTTCTTACACTTTCCTCCTTCAATTAAAAAAAACAAAACAAAAACTGGTTAGGTAGGTTTAATATGCATCTTACTTATTTTCCTTTCAAACAAGTCACAAAAGGCCAGATTAAAGATGCAAGATCTACCCATAGGACAGGGCTATTCTACAGCCTGCCTTGGTGGAAGAACTTTAATAAATAGGCAATTCTTGAGTACAGGATTCAGATTGTTCTTGTAGAAGGCAAAAGAGCTGTCTGGGATATTGAGTGGCCAGAAGAGACTGGAGAAACATTCCTCTTGTGCTGCTCTCCCAGAGACCTCAGTGTGGCCTCTCCTCTCCTCCCACCATCTGCACAAGATCCCATGCCAGTCTTCTACTTTGCTTGTATTCCAGACTCCTTAAAGTAGAAACAGTTTTGGTAAATCTTAAATACCTGGGGCAGCAACAGAGAGGTGATAGCAGATTACTGCCATGAAAGCCAAATTCTCATTTATTTAACCAGGAGTTTAATGGATGCTAAGTTGTTGCTTTTTTTTTTTTTTCTTCCACAAGTCAAACTCAGAAAAAAAGTGAAAAAAATCCAATGTCCCAGGAAAAGCCATTATGAGATTTAACCTACATATTATAAATCTCAAGACCAAAATAGAAATCTTACTGTAGAGTGTATTGGAATATACCTCTATTACCAGCACTGGGAGACAGAGACGGGGTTAGCTTGAGTGTGAGGCCAGCCTAGCTACTGTGAGCTCTGGACAGCTTGGCTACATAGTGAGAAGTCTCAAAACAAAACAAAGAAATCTTTTTTTTTTTTTCTTTTTTTAAATAAGATCAACTGGCCCTCAAGGATGCTGCATTTCCCCCTCATACCTTACCTCTTCTTAAATCAGCACTCTGCCTGCAAGCACGTCCCTAAGCAGAATAGCCCCTTTCACCCTCAGATGGAATGTATCTCAGACTGGAGCCTCATCTGAGGGATATCAGCAAAAGGTGCTGCTGGCAGAAGTAAAACAGGACTGGCTTTCCACAACACTCCTAGCTACCC